GCAGTGTCTCCCCGGTGAAGTGGAGCAGACGATGCACGCCATCTACGAAAGGAAGAAGGGCACTGCGTCCAGACTTTCGAAGTCGGCTGGGAACCAGCTGGGACCATCCTGAAGAACTGTAACTGCAGGCCTGGGAAGTCGTACAGCACGTGGACAACTGCACCACCGAGACCCAGACTGGACCGAGAGTCTCCGCGATGACCGTCTGTCCTCGCAAGTATAGTCTGTGGCTGCGCCTGCGCCCCACCGTGCTCACTCCGTTCAGCAGCTGGGGGACGTCCCATATTCGGTTAACACCCCCAAGGAAATACGTATTGACGCATGCTGGAGCACAGAGTGAGCAGCCTCTGCCCTGGAGAAGAGGGTCATACAGGTGCCAGGGCTGTGCAGGTGGCCTGGGAAAGGCCCGGCTCCATGAGCGCCCCCCGGGGAACCCACCGTTGGGCCGCGATCAGGGCACCCAAAGCCAGGCGCAGTCTGCTCTGAGAAAGCAGCTCCTTGAATTATTAAATAGAGAAATTCTAAGCTGCTTGGGGGTTCTTCTCCATGCAGCAATAGTGGGAAAACATTATTACGAGAATTTATGAATTGTCTTAAAAATGTTACTGTGCAATAGACATGTTCAAATCCTAGATAGGGGTTGCCCTCTCCCTCTCCTTGTTCTGGACATGTCACCAGGCGGAGTGCAGTGGTGCAGTGGTAGCTCACTGCAGCCTCCAACTCCTGGCCTCTCCTGCCTCAGCCTCCAGAGTATGTGCTCCCCCACGCCTGCTACCTTTTAAATTTTTGTAGTGATTGAGTCTCGTGATGTTGCCCAGGCTGTTACACATTCCTGCCCTCACCTCACAAGTGCCTCGCTTATAGGCGTGAACACTGTGCTCGCCAGGTTCCTCATTTTTTAATCCTGTTTTCTCAGCAGAGTCTGTGAGCTTTGGGAGAACCTTCTTCTTATGTGGATGCCCACTCTTAGGATCAGATGTCCACTCCTCCACTGAACGCCAGTTGCTTCAGGCATTTGGACCCCCAAGAACCCACATGGCTGGCTGAGAAGCACTGCAAATACTAACACAAACATGACTTTCATCACAGCCCTGAGGAGTGTCCTCTGGAGCACAGTAGTTTTTGGAAAGAACTCTCTTAAATTCTTTCTTTTTTTTTTTTTTGAGGACAGATCCTCCACTTGTTGGCCCAGGCTAAGAGTGAGTGCCATGGCGTCAGCCTAGCTTCACAGCAACCTCAACTCCTGGCTCAAAAAGCCATCCCTCCTGCTCAGCCTCCCGAGTAGCTGGGACTACAGGCATGTGCCACCATGACCGCTAAATTTTTTCTATATACGTTGTTGCTAATTCTTTCTATCTTATAGTAGAGCGGGGTCTCGCTCTTGCTGGTTTCGAACTCCTGACTCGAGCGATCCGCTGCCGGTCCAGAGAGTAAGGATTACAGTTTGAGCACCGCGCTTCCCGTTTCCTTTTGAGACCAGTCTAGCTTTGTTGCCCAGGCTAGAGTTGAATCCTGAGTCAGCCTAAGCTCACCGCAACCTCAAACTCAAATGGGCTTTGGCAATCCTACTGCCTCAGCCTCCTGAGTACTGGGACTAACAGCATGCGCCAAATGCCCAGCTAATTTCTTTCTATATAGATTAGTTGTCCAGCTAATTCTTCTATTTTTAGTAGAGATGGGGTCTCGTTCTTGCTCAAGCTGGTTTGAACTCCTGACATTCGGAGCGATCCGCCCGCCTTGGCCTCCAGAGTGCTTAGGATGACAGGCATGAGCCACTGTGCCCAAAAACTATTACACAAAACTTCATCATTGTCCATACTTCACTGAGTCTGTTTGAAGCCCCTTCCCCAAGTGCTTAAGTCTGGCCAGCGGGTGTGGTGTGTGTGTGGTGTGTTGGTGTTGTGTGTTGTGTAAGTCCTGCCACCGCGGGTGGTGGGTGGGGTGGGTGTGTGTGTGTGTTGAAGTCCTGGCCACGCGGTCGGTGGTGGGTGGTGTGGTGTTGGTGTGTGTTGTGTGTGTGTGAAGTCCTGGCCACCGCGGGGTGGTGTGTGTGTGTGTGTGGTGTTACCGGCCATACCGCCTCGGGCGCTCCAGCAGCACTGCAGAGGGGCTTTCAACTCTGAGGAGCAGAACCCCAGATAAAGGAGCTATAGCAGGCGTGGGGTTTCCTCTCCTGTGAAAGTCTGGCGGTGGGGCCTCACTGCCTCTGGGCGCCAGCCCTTCCTCATCATCTGGGCTATCGCATGCGTCCATCCATACTCCAAGCCACGGAAGGGAAGAGACAGCAACAAAGGCATATGGTGCTGCTTAGGGAAGATCCAGGCCGGCGCTGTGGCTCACGCTTAATCCTAGAACTTGGAGGCTGAGGTGGGAGGATGCTTGAGCTTACGAGTTTCGATCAGCCTGAGCAAGAGTGAGACCCCCATCTCTACTATAAACAGAAATTAAGCAAACAATTAAAAAATAGAAAAATTAAGCCAGACATGGTCGGTGCTTGCCTGTATCAGCTACTCGGGAGGCTGAAAGCAGAGGGATCTCTTGAGCCCAGGATTTGAGGTTGCTGTGAGCTAGGCTGACGCCACGGCATC